ACCTGAAGGCTCACCTGCTTTCTCTGTGATGTCAGGCTGCACTGAAAAGGTGGCTGTCTACAAAGCCTGTGAAAGCCTTTACTAGAAACCAAGTCAGCCACAAGCCTGTCCTTAGGTTTTCCAGACTTGGAGTTCAGCGAAAATAAATAAATTTCTGTTAAGCTATGAAGTCTATGACAGTTTTTCTATCAGCTTAAGTAAACTAAAACTGTGGGGGTGCCATTCCAACAATAGTTTAAAAAAAAAAGAATGTTCTAGAAGTGCCTTAGGACTAGGTAGATGCTAAAAGCATTTAGAGATGCATGTTAGAAAAAGCCTGGATAATCATGAGCTAGCAGCTACGACAAATATAGATGTTAAAGGAGATGGCAGTGGGGTCTCTGAGGGAAACGAAGAACACATTATTAGACTCTACTAGAAAGGTGACTCATGTCATAAAGTGGCAGAGAATTGGACTAGATTGTGTTCTAGTGGTTTGCTGAGGAAGGCATGTACGAGATAAAGTAGGATTTTTAGTTGAGATGTTCAAAGTCAGGTGTTGAAGGAGTACCTTCATTTCTCCTGGCTGCTTACAGGGCAATAGGAAAGGAGAAAGAAGATGAGGACTGTTTGGTCTGTTTATGTAAAAGGTATGAATGCTTAATATTCTGTTTTGTTTTGAGATGAGGTCTCATGTAGTCTAAGTTGACCTCAGAGGCTCTAGGTAGTTGAAGATGGAGGCTTGAACTCCTGATTTTTCTGCCTCTGCCACCTGTGTGCTAGGATTGTGGGTATGTACCACTACATCAGACTTGAAACCTTGTTCTTTACAGGACACTAAGGATATGGGCTAAACAGCCATTTGATAAAGAGGTCATGGGTATAGCTTACAGACTTCTTAGCAGAAGTCAGAAACAGGGACAAGATATTATATTAGCAGAGACTGCCAGTTTGGGCATAGTTTTTGTCCAAAGGGGATGAAGAAAGTAGAATGGCAAGAAAAAAACTACCAGATATCTTGAATTCTACAGGCCTGGTCCATAGACCTCTTTGACTGCCCATGTGCATTATTTTCTAATGAAAAGGAACAAAGCCATGGAGTGATAAAGACATTAAGACTTTTGCTGGAGAGATGGCTCGGAGGTTGAGATTACTGTTCTTAAAGAGGACCTGGCTTTGATTCCCAGCACTCACATTAGCCAGCTTACAACCATCTGTAACTTTCCAGTTCCAGGGAATCCAATGCCTTCTTCTGGCTTCTGCAGGTGTACACACACCCACACACACACCCACACACACACACACACACACACACACACTGCACATAAACTCATGTAGGCACACACACACAGAACTTAGACATTTTAAAACACTTTAAAAAGAGATATCAAAGCTGTTCTTCTGACTAAGGATCCAGTGGATAGGGCTGCTTCCTTCTAGGTGTCAAATGATGAGCCTTTTTTAGATTTGAAGGGCTAGGGGGACAACAAATAGTGACGCAGGGAGTGACGAGTGACATGGCAACAAATGAGAGTATCTTTTTGAGACATAGGAGTTAAGAGCGTTTAAGACTTGCTAGACTTGGACTTTGGTACCCATCTTTCCTCCTTCTGATTTCTCATATTTCAGGATGGAATGTCTATTCTAACACCTGTGTACAAGTAATCTGTCTGGCTTTACCAGGTTCACAGATAACAATGTTGCATTAAGATGAATGTCACCTTAAGTCTCATCCTTATCTCATTTAGGTAATATGTAGAGACTTTACATGAGGACTTTAAAGTTGGTCCTTGGGAATAAGACTTTTAAGGTGATTGAGATGTATTTGCCTGTGACAAAGATGAGTTGAGAGTGAGGGAAGGAGGACACAATCCTCTGAACTAAACTGTGCCTCCTTCCAATGTACATGCTGAAGCTTTAAAGTACAATGAGGCCATATTTGAAGATAGAGTCTACGAAGAAGGAGATACTTAAATAAGTTACATGGTTGAGACTGGGACACAACAGGAACAATGTCCTTTTAAGAAAAGACACCAGAGCATCTGTCCTCTCTTAGTGACTCATCACAGTGTGAGGACTCAGAGAGAACAGCCCTTATCAGAGAATAACCAAGTTAGACTTTGGACTTTTCAACTTCTAGAAACATGAGAAAATTAATTTCTACTGTTGGGCTAGGGATTTCACTTGGTAGTAGGGTGTTTGCCTAGCACACACAAGACCCTAAGTTCAATTCCAAGCAACACACATATACACACAAATTCTATTATTTAAGCCCCCAATCTATGAAAAAGCTGACACAAAGTAACTATTTTAAAAGTTTACCACTAAAGTGAATATGTAGATATGGTCCTTTACCTTTCAAATTAACTTCCTTTTGCAATATTTTAAGAGATAAGTTCCACTCTAAATTATACTAATATGGAAAGGGATTTGTTAAGAAGACAAACAGCAAAAAAGAGTTGTTTGGGCCAACTGTTGGCTTCTTTTGCTCATCTCTGCAAAAGCTGGGTTCTCAGAGTTCTTAGTATTTATTCCTTTAAGATTGTATAATCAATTAGGTACTTCTGGAAATGCCTAGAAAATTTTCAAAGAAACATTTGTATTCAGCATTTAGTATAAAAACACCCTTTTCCAAACCTGCCAACAACTCCCAGTGTATAATCACTTGCCACCTGTTCTTTTGAGATTGCTTTTGTATTATTACAAGCAAAGAAATCAATACAACACCATTGATTTAGGAAAGAGACAAGATTGCGTGGCAATAATACATAAAGTTAGTCAAGCCCCACTTCTCAATTGTTTTGAAAGAACAGATACTTTTATGTCCCTTTCAGAAATAGGCACTCATTCGGCATTGGTGATCTGTAGCAATAAAGACCCAAGATAGATAAGGTACTATAACCCCAATTTATATAATAGCGCTTGAGAGCTACACAGAATCTCAAAATGCCCTGTTATACTCAATAGTAATATATTAACTTGAGTCCATATCTTCTCTCTGCAGTTTGTCCCTTGGTTTAATTTTAAGAGTGTGGGCTGCAGCAGAGGGTCAAGACAGTCAGCAGTGGAGGTGTTGCAGCTGCAGAGAGCAGCCAGCTCAAGAGCTGGTCCAACATTTATGTCTTGATAGGCAGGTAAGGCAATTGCTTACTTTGTTCATTAATATACTAAGACACCATCTGGTTCTTCTAGGCTAAATTAACATGCAAAAGTCATTTAGATATGTTAATTGGTTTTGAACCAATGGCTAGAATCTGTAAAAGGAGGTGACTGGAATGAAGATTATACTGAGCTTTGTGCTTCTAAAACCTTTCATTTGGATCATCTCACTTGATGGTCACCTTAGTCCCATAAAATATTATCATTTTAAACATCTGGAAGAAGAGGAAAAACCATCTTTGAGAGCCAAAGATTTTTAACTCTCTTAATGTAGGGAAGGCGGCACAGGCAGCTCACTTAGCCACACTCCAGCCCCAAAGACAGGTGTTACTACTGACAAAACTACAAGTGGTGAAGTCAGGATCAGAAGGCAAATCTTTTGGAGATCTCAGTCCACACCACAGTTGGCACACTCATGAGACTTGTGAGTATAATCAGACAGGAATCCTTAATGTCAGGTGGTCTGTGTCTCTCAAAGTACTGAGCTGTCTGGAATGGTTGACATGCACTTAAGAAAGCAATAAACAGCAAGACAGACTAAGTGTAGGCTACACAGTCAGAAATACCTGAGTTTTAAAAATTATATTTATTGGGGGTGTATGTCAAAGTGCTGGAGTCCATATTCTCCTTCCACTAGCTAGATCCTAGGGATTGAACTCATCAAACTCAGTCATCAGGCCTGTTGACAAGTACCTTTGCTCAATGAGTCATTTTGCTGGCCTGATAGCTATATTTAAATCCTAGCTCTACTCAAGAAAGTGAGTTACCTCACTGAGCAAAACCTTCCTCATGCATCAAATGGAGAAAAGGATTCTGACCTTGTGAGCATTAAATATTAGTTATCTTTGTCCATAAAAGTGTTTCCCAGGAAGCAGAGAAGTCACAGAGGAAGGCGAACAAGGATCTCTTACATGGTAGAGACAAAGAGGGAGACATGGAGTAAAAGATACACAACAGGTACTGCTTTTATAGGTAAACCACTGCAAACTGCCAAAGCTCAGTGGCTACTTCTCTTAAGAGGAGTCTGAGTTAGTTAATACTCATTCTCAATTTGAAGGGATTTATAAATCTGGAAACATACTTCTAGGTATGACTATGAGGTTGCTTTTATGAGGGGGTCTTTGCAGGAAGGTTTAAAAGACCCATCCTGAATGTGGGCAGCATGATCCTATGGGAGAAAGTTAACTGAGCATCAGCATTCACCTCTCTCCGTGACCAGCCAACCCACATACCTGCTATGCCTTCCCACCATGATGGACTGTACCCCTTTCCACTGTGAGCGAAAAACCAACCATCTACCCCTTAAGCTTCTTGTCAGGTATCTGGTCACAGGAGTAACAAATACACAGTCCTTCCAGACTTCTACAGAATGGTTGTTTCCCCTATTCTCCTTAATGCCTGTTTTTCATTTCAATAACATTAGAGTATACCTGCTAATATAGGAGACGCACTCACTTTCACACAATGGAAGAACTGGAGGAAAGAAAGTGGGAAGGAAGAATGGATCTGCCTCAATAACAAGGTGCAGACTAAGATTATGGTAAAGCTAGGCGTGGTGGTGCACACCTTTAATCCCAGCACTCACAAGGAAAAAGCCAGGGCTTCTCTGTGAGTTTGAGGCCAGCCAAAGCTACATGGTGAGACCCTGTCTCAAAAAACCAAAAGAATGTTTGAAAAACTACTTCGTGGTGGTGGTACACACCTTTAATCCCACAACTCTCAGAGGCAGGTGGATCTCTGTGAGGTGAGTTCAAGGCTAGCCTGGTCTACAGCATGAGTTTCAGGATAGCACAGGAATACACAGAGGTACCCTGTCTTGAAAAACAAAGAAGATTAAGGTGAGATTTTCAATATTTTCTTACCTTGACAGCATAGTTATTGAGTGGATCTTTTGCATATGAGGCAGTGTAGTAAACTGCATCTCCAGCTTCACAGCATGGTTTGTCACTGGTAAGCCTGAAGTCCGACCAGCTGTCTACTCCAAAGCGGAGTTGGTCTTTCTGCCCAGCCATGAAGAGGTCTTCACATTTAACAGCCAGTTTCTTCAAGGCATCTGTGTGAAGGCTTCGGATTTTACCCACTACTTCCTCCCGATTTTCAAGTCCTCGATAAAGTGCTTGTCTCTGTGGTTTCTGAATACTCCGACCCTGTCTACAGGAGAGACCACGTCGGCTGGAGAGGGATTCCATACTGTTGGAAAATCTGTCCTTAACATTGAGAGTGGCTAAGCTGGAGATACTGTTTGCTGCTGAAGGAACAGGTCTTTCTTTGTGCAAAGGTCTCTCCAAGGAGTCATAAGACTCAATGTCCAGTCCTTTGAGTTCACAGCTAATAGAAGACCCAGCACTGCTGGCATCCCAGTTGGGGTCAATATCATAGGTGGGATTAGCCATGACACAAAGACTACTTTCCATGGTTTTTTGAAGGTCTTTGGAGATTGGCTCTGTATTGGCTCGTATCATTTTCTTTGGCAGTGGGGGTGGTGTGGGTTGGGAAGCATTCAAAACTTCTTGGTCTGTCTTCTCTCCAAAGGCAATGGCATCATCCAAAGCTCCCTTGGGATGCCGTGGATGCTTGGGAGGTATCATAGCTGCTCTAGACTGTCCTGCATTATTTTTAAAGAAAGAAGAGAATTAATCAATAATTTCAATTTCATTTCATAACTGAAGCAAGTAGAGATGAGTGAAGAAGTCATGGGGAATCTTAACCATCAGTCAGTGCTTTCACTGAAAATGTGAAGCCAGGGAATGAACATCGAAGTTATGAATCCAAAACTCAACTGGAGCAACAAATATGAATTATGTCTCAGCATTCTCTGTCAGAGAAATGTGACACTGGTCTAGGTGATGGGCTTTTTGTTTTCAAAAAGGAATCCAGATTCTCCAGTCCTGTCCCCAGTAATACTAACATTCATGACACAACAGTGCTAAAAAGGACAGACACTAGAAAAACCTGCATTGTGACAGTGAAATGACAGCATTTGTGGATCAAGAAAAATACTTTGGATCATTACTGAAAGCAGAATTGAGACTAGCAATGGGACCACTGTACAGAGCCCAACAAAATATTGCTTGTTTCTTGCATTATCATTCCAGTTTTACCTTGTATATAGCACCTGCCATTACATATATGTACACATAATGTATCCAATATCTATGTTTAGAGGGCAAAACACTAGGGTTCATTCTTACACAATGGAAAGACACTATTTTTCTATTTTTTAAGTGTTTACTTATTTTTATTTCATTTGCATTGATGTTTTGTCTGCATGTATGTCTGTATGAGGGTGTCAGATCCCCTGGAACTGGAGTTACAGACAGTTGTGAGCTGCCATGTGGGTGCTGGGAATTGAACTCAGGTCCTCTGGAAGAACAGTTAGTGTTCTTAACCACTGAGCCATCTCTTTAGCCTGTGACACTATTTTTCTGAATACAGAAATATATCATGAACCTTCCACATAAGCTACAAAAATTAGTCATGTTATTAAAATGAGGCCTTTACTCAAGAGATAGAAGAGGGAAAGCATAATGCCTGGTTATGGATTGCATCATGTTGTGGTCCTAACCCCTAGGATCTATGAATAAATAGGTCCTCATTTGGAATAGAGTCTTTGTTAATATGACAAAGTTGATGTTAAGGAAGGCCCCATTCAAATATGGCTGGTATCCTCATAAAAAGAAAATACAATATGAAGACAAAGAAGTGGAACACTATGTGGTAACAGGGGCAGAAACAGAATCGATTGAACTGTAAACCAGGAATGCCAAAGATGGATGGCCATCATTAAATGCCAGGCAGACACAAGAACAGATTCTACTCAGTGTCTCAGAAGAAGTGTCTCAGAAGAAGCATGGTTCTGTGGACAGAAGTTTAAGTCCCTAGACTCCACAATTGTCAAAGAATTAGTTTCTGTTGTATTAAACAACCCATTTAAGGTACTTTATTACAATAGACATAGGAAATAAATACATTTTGCTACTTTTAACCATACAAAGTACAGGTAAATGGATTGTGTGATGTTAGTACTAGAATCACCTAGGAGACCTTTGAACATGTCTGTGGATTTCTGTATTAGGCTAAATGGGATGGGAGGAACCACTCCAAATGTGGGTAGTGCCATACCTCAGGCTGTGATTCTAAACTGAATAAAATAAAAGTGAGCCAAATGCCAGCACTCATCTCTCTCCATTTCCTGACTACAGATGCAAACTGCCTCATATTTCTACTGCCACGACTGCCCTACCATGATAGATTGTCCAAAGCTGTAAGCCAAAACAACCTTCCTCCATGATCTGCTTTTGTCACAGCATGAAGTCAGAAATAGAGATGCTTCTGAGATGCTAATAAGTTATGGTTTGTCTTGTTAAAACCACACCCTTGAAGAAATACCAAGGGCAAGAATCAATATACAATGCGATTATAATCACATTCCATTTCTTACATATAGTACTTTGATCAAGAATACCTACGAGTTTAAATAAACTACTAACTACCACATATATACAGCACAATGAAGGCTCTCCTTTCTCCACTAACAGCATACAGCAGCATATTTATAAGGAAGAAAGCTGCATTAAACACAATATGTATACATATATATATAGAGAGAGAGAATGTACAATAGAGTGGGGGGTTCATATAGGGAGGAAGGGGGAGAAGAGAGAGGAAGGGTGAAGTAAGAGGTTGCGGGGAGAATAAGCAGAGAATATATAGCTCTAGGGAGCACAGGTTTTAAGACTTCCCAGCGGGTATTTGGTTTCGTACAGTGCTTGCCCAGCATATACAAGCCCTTGGGATTGACCTTTATTAGTTAACTAACTAATTAAATTCCCATGAAGAAAAACTCGGGAGTAGATGGATTCACTGATGAATTCTATCAAATGCTTAATATTAATTAAACCAAAGTATTACTACCAATCTTTTTCAAATTCTTCCAAAAAGTAGAAGGGAAGAGGGAACACTTTCTACCTTGAATTTTGTAGAAGTAATGTTATCTAGACAACCAAACCAAAGACATCCAAGAAAACTAAAGACTAATATTACTTATAAATACAAGTGAAAAAAAACATAAGACATTAGCAATAGAACCTAGCAAAACTTTAAATATTATAAAGATAATAATATGCAATAACAAATTGGGTTTATCCAAAGAATGCAAGGTTGGTTTAACACCTGAAAATTAATCAGTATAATATGCTAACAAAATACAAAAGAAAAAACAATCTCACATGATCTTCTGAAATTTATAGAAAATGTATCTGATTAAAATCTTATGCCACTGGGAGGTGGTGGCACATGCCTTTAATCCCAGCACTCAGGAGTCAGACGCAGGAGGATCTCTGTGAGTTTGAGACCAGACTGGTCTACAAGACCTAGTTCCAGGACAGCCTCCAAAGTCACAGAGAAACCCTATCTCGAAAAACAAAACACAACAAACAAACAAACAAAAATCTAATGTCTTTCCATGACAACACCCAACAAATCTGTGACAGAAGGGAACATTCTCAGCCTTACGGCTTCTATATCAAACCAAGAGCTAACTAACATCATACTTGATGACAAGAGTCTAGGTGCTTCCTTCCTAATGTCATTAATACAAGGACTTCTATTATTCTATCTTATACTTCAGCACTAGTCACGGAAATTTGGAAATAGTGACAATAACAACAATATTCAGATTAGGAAGAAGTAAAACTATCCTATGTATAGATCACATAATCTTGTATTTTGAGAAGCCCATGGAATCATATGATTATCTATCAGAAGTGATATGCCAAGGTTCAGATCGTAGAGTGCTTGCCTAGCATGCAAGGAGTCTTGGGTTCAATTCCTAGCATACCACAAAACTGAATGTGGTGGAATATACTTCTAATTTCAGTACTTGAGACATGAAGTCAGGAGGAACAAGATGTCAAAGCTACCCCCAGCTATGCAGTAAGTTTGAGGACAGTGTGAACTACATGAGAACTTGCTATAAACAAACAAAATGAAGAAAAGAATACTATCAGTTTAGTGAGCCTGCAAGATACAAGGTTACTATACAAAAATCAACCGTAATGACTATTCTAAAACCGACATTAAGAAAATAACCCTATTTGCAACAAAGAGACTAAAGTATTAAGGGATAAATTTAATTAAGCAAGAGTTGTATGCTGAAAACTATAAAACATCATTGAAAGAAATTAAAAAGTACCAGAATGAATGGAAATTAGTTATGTTATTAAAAATCAGTCACATTATTAAAATGACTAATTTTATGCAGTCCATTTAAGCTCATGGATCAGAGACTTTAATATTGTTAAGATGGAAATATTCCCCAAATTGACCTACAGATTTAATGTAATCCCTATGAAAATCTCAGTTGGATTTCTTGCAGAATTGATGTGAGGACCCTAAAATTCACGTGGAAACATAAGCAGCTTAGGAGTGGCCAAAAGTAGTCTTAGCTCATTATAAAATTATAGTAATCAAGGTGGTGTAGTACCTAGTATAGGAAAAAAGATATAGATGAATGGAATTGGTTTGGAGAGGTCAGAAAGAAACCTTTATGTTAAGGGGTCAATTGATATGGACAAAGTTTGTCCAAACAATTCAGTGGAGGAAAGAACTAACAGGGCTGTGACAAGTGAATCCACATATGCAAAAATCCAAAAACAAAAATTAAAGTTGGACTCCTGTTTCACATTATACACAAAGATAAACTAAAATGCATAACAAGATATAAATGTAAGAGCTAAAACCATGAAAACTCTACATTATTCACTTCCAGGAATCAAGCCCAGGATCTCAAGCATGCGCTACCACTGAGCTATATCCTTACTCCAGAAATATGACAAATTGATGACAGAAATAAATGATTGCAAAACAGTTTGGTAAAAGTGAAGATAAAGCTTAAATGCTTCAAAGTACATCTTCAAGAAAGTAAAAAAAAAAAAAAAAAACCAGACATGGTGTCACACCCCTGAGGATACTATTGCTATATAGCAAGACTTTGGATAGACACTAAAAGAGAGGAAGAAGAGGGAGGGAGGAAGGACAGAAGAGACAGAGAGATCAGAAGGAAGATGGGAAGGTGGGGAAAATACACAGAATAGGGAAAACGCATGTTCAAATTATGTATCTGGGAAGAAATCTGCATTTAGAATGTATAGAGAACTCTTTTAAAAATCTTAAAAAATGTGCAAGAGATTCACATAAACATTTCTCCAAAAATGATATACAAATGGCCAATACATACACGAAAGATGTCCAACATAATAACCTGTTAGATAATGATATAATAAAACCCTAATACTTCACATCTACTACGATCATTATAATAAAAATAAAAATAAGAATAATAAAAACTACAGACAAGTAGTGGTGAGGATGTGGAGAAATTTGGATGATCACACATTGCTAGTAGGAATCTAAGATAGAATAGCTGTCTTGGAAAACAGTCTGGGAGTTTCTCAAAGAGTAAAACAAAGAGCCATAACATGAGCCAGCATATGCACTCCTACAGAGGTACCCAATGGAAATAAAACATGTCTACGCCCAAACCAGAACACATGCTTATACTGTATTATTCATAACAGCCCCAAAGTGGAAACAACACAGTTGTTT